TAAGAATGCATGAGGAAAAAAAGGTGAAATGGAAACATACATTATTATATATCACGCCAAGACTCTGTTTTTAACCAAAGATGTTTCTGTTTGAAACATGCATAGCTATTGTTGCTAAATGCATGTGGATGCAATTACAATTAATAACAGCAAACTTGCAGAGGCAAGGATAATCCTCATTTCCATGAAATAGGATTCATATTTATGAGGATCTTAGTTTAGATCTCTATTTGTTAAACACTTTGAGTAGCTTTAGCTTCTGCAGCTCACTTGGGCTCAGCTTCACTTTTTATTATTCTCTGTCAACATATTAGTCTGTCGTTTATCTGATCATTTGCATTGCTTTCACATTCCATCCACGTTATTATAATGTGTATTAGATGGCACTTGAAAAGTTTCAAAATTCACTGCCATAGTTGAAACTATCCTGTATAGATCTTCTTTTTATATCTTGTACTACCAGAAAAATGTATTCTGTTTAAAAGCTCATAGACCTATGCCAGCTTGAATGTATAAAGTCATAGCTAGAAATTTCCCTTCAGACAGTTCAAAGAGTGAAGAATATGCTAAAATATTTTATTTCGATCCTCAGCAATCCTATCATTGAATTTTCACAGCACAACATTGAGGTAGGCATTTTCCTTGGGGAAGTCATCCAATTGTTCCTATGGAATGAATTGAGAAATACAAAGATCAAATTTTAGTGCCTGCTAATTTTAGTCACTGAAGTTGGAAATATATGACCTTAGATGTCATGATCAGCCAAGAAGGATGAGTCCATTCAAAAGGACTATGCACCCTGTCATGGCTGAAGTCAGTAAGAGCAAAGGACACTCAGCATCAATGTAAGTCCTTTTTATCTTAGAATGAGCAGCAAAAAAAGACACCTGTAATCAGGCAAGACTTCTGAAATCATGAATAAATGTTGAGATGGCAGGATAACAAAGCAGAAAAGGAAACAAGGCAAGGGACTGGAAGAAAGATTGGGTGCATCCTTGATGTGTTTCTTAATCTTACAGCAAGAAGAACATGTCCCATACACTGCCTGTGGGAAGTGCATACGAATGACTTTCTGTACAAGTGCCATCTTCTTCTGGGTAAAGTGTTTCTCTTATTCTTTCCCCTCATTAATTCACTTTTCTTATAAGTGTCTAAAAAAACAGTCTTCTTGAACTGAACAAAAAGTGACAATGGAACTAGTTCATTTGGATTTCCATCTGATGCATAAGTCAAGTCCATAAGGTATGGACCCACATGGAGAAGGTGGCTGTAGTCACCCAATACTTATTAGTGGACAGTAGAAAAATATCCTGCACTGTAGCTGTAAGTTATGCTTGTAAATGTGGTCCATTGGTTTTTCCCTCATTATTTTAAGACAAACACCTTTGCTTTTAGTGGAGGAGTAGGGTCAAGACTTTGGTTTATATGCTCTCCTCCCTGCTAGTTTCTATTCTTCTTGTTCCAGCTGTGTGCTTCCATATTGTGTCTCACAGCCCATGGCCTCTCAGGTTTTTTGTTTCACTTAATAGAACAAAGCTGGGTGGTCTCTAATATTCTAGATTAATTTCTTTAACTACAACTAAAACTTGAAATCCATCCAGTCACCCATGAAACAATACAAAACACAGCGAGCAGGCCCAGAGAGGTCGCCTTGAAAAGCTCACCAGCATGCTGCACGTCCTCTTGACACATAGCACAAACAGCAGCTGGAAAAGACCTTATCCTAGGTGATAGGAGACAGTTAGGAGATAGAGTGGTGTCTGGCAGCCCAGCAGAGCCTCAGCATTGACACATTTGAAACACCAAGGAAAGAATACTGACTTACAGTTGGATTTAAATAGGCAGGACTTCAGATTGGAGTTTGTCATTTGGTCTGGGTTTGCCATTTATGTTACTGTACTCTTATTGTGTGCAGGCTTGGAGGAAGTAGTAGATGGCAGTTTGCTGAGATAGTGAAAAAAATGATTCACAGGTGGACCTCAAACTGAATAATAGCTAGAGAACTACCAAGAAATAAAAGCGGGAGGAGAAGCAGAAAGAGGAGGTGGCAAGCAAAATGGGATGCACAGATCATTATTAGAACTCCTGCAGAACACATGACTTGGCTTGGAATTTATCTGTCTGTAGTCTGTGATAGAATCATGAGGAAGAGAAGGTACAGCCCCCTCCATAATCAATTGTGACTTGCTAGTGCAGTTGCCATCTTGCCAATTGCCCAGTGTCAAAAGAGGGAGTTTAGTCCCATCACATGCCTTGAGGTATAAGATTTGATTATGCATCTCATTATCTTGGCTCTCATCAGTACAAACCTTGTTATTAGTCATAAAACAGACCATCTCTTTTCTTTCCTGCAGATTGACTATGTTACATGAAAAAAAGTCTCCTTTTAGGGGTTCTCTATTACCTTCTATCTTATTTGATCATCCTCTTGCAATGGAATGGCAGGCACATGATTGCTTTCCTTTTGCCTATTTTAAAAAGAATTGCAAACTCACTTTTTCCTAAAGCCAATGGTTGGACATTAACATCTTTCTTGCATTCCCTTGGCAGATCCTTTTGATTATTGCTTCAGTTATTGGAATCATTGTCTACAGGCTCTCAGTTTTCCTGGTGTTCTCTGCAACGTTGTCACAGCACATTAGTGGAACAGAGGCGATCAGCAAGTACCTGACTCCACAGACAGCCACTTCAATAACAGCTTCACTCATCAGCTTTGTAATCATTATGATTCTCAACATCATCTATGAAAAAGTAGCAATCCTGATTACTGACTTCGGTATGCTGCTACTGTACCTCAGATAGAAACCTGGGGAAAAATAGCTAGAAAAAGTAGTATTTATATGTATGACGAGTATTCCAATAAATGAACACCTGTACCACATATTTCAGAATTTTCCCATCAAATCACACAATACCACCTAGAAATTTTCCAATACAGATGCTCTCAATATCAAAGGAATGTGATATTCTGCTCTTTGCCTGAAAAGCCCTCGTATAGGCAGCAAGAAAGATCAATTGTTTACAGTTGCTTGTGAAACAGACAAAGCAAAGAAAATTACTATAACAACCAAGCTTTATGAAAACAGATCAGTAAGGCATAACACATTCAATTACACTTGCTGTGTTTATGGGGAAAATAGCTATTTTCTTGTAAATAAGTGAAATAAGGTCACTGTTCCAAAGCTGGATACCATTCCAACATTATTAAACAGATAAACAGTCACAAATAATATTATTCTTTTTATCCAGGCCATCAGCATTAAAGTAGGTGTTTCACTTTAGATGTGTGAAGTAGTGCAGTGTTTTAATATAGTTTCATTTATTACTGTTTTATCATTTCAAAGTGTTACATTTGCATCTTTCCTGAGTGTGCTGGACTTGGGTGCCTTTTCTTTCCCATGAGTTACCAGAATTTTTGTTTCTTCTTTTTCTTTATTGTCAGAGAATCAGTTATTTCCTTTTTACAACCCATATACATTTAGAATTAGCATAATGGTTACAGTGTACATGGGGATAATGTACAATCTAATTTATAATGCTCTCAGTCGTATTAAGAAATACAAGGCATACACAGACTTTGGAGCTGAGGCTCTAAAGCAGCTTGTAGGTTACTTGCAGGTTGCGTTTTTTTCAGTTGGTTAGTTCTTTTTCTTTCATTGCAGAACTTCCAAGGACACAGACCGATTATGAAAACAGTCTGACCACAAAGATGTTCTTGTTCCAGTTTGTCAACTACTATTCTTCATGCTTCTACATAGCCTTCTTTAAGGGTAAATTTGTAGGTCACCCTGGAAATCCAGTTTATTGGCTAGGAAAGTATCGCAATGAAGAGGTAAGAATGTGTAATATAGAATTAGTCCAGGTATTCTGCTGCAGTTAGGGGTATATAACATAAAGCTGTACATATTTAAGATGTGTGTTTAAAAAGTGACTGCCTCCCAAGCCAATTGCCTCCTCAGCAACCCCTAGCATAAAAGAATATGACATGGGAGCAGTTGGGCTCAGCAATGCACTACACATATCCAGAAAAGCATATTTTACCATGTCCAGCAATCTGTGAACTGGCACACAGGAAGGGGAGAACATCAGTAGAAGCATTCCTATTCTGCTGGGTGACCCTCACCTGGTGATAGCACAGAGCTGCATGATTTCACCTGACATTTCACTCTGTGTCCTGTCAACCCATCAAGTGTGACCATATGTGATCTGGAATTAACTTTTGTATACTTTACCAGAAAAGTTTGCCTAAACAGTCTTTAAGAAATGTTATTATAGTAAACCAGGAATGCATTATTTTAAATGCTTCATTCATGCCTGAAGAGTTACCCAACTTCAAAAATTTTCCATGTCTTTCTAAACCTTCAGTGTGATCCAGGTGGATGTCTCCTCGAGCTCACCACCCAGCTTGCCATCATAGTAGGAGGTAAAGCTATCTGGAACAACATTCAAGAAGTGCTTGTTCCGTAAGTCCAAACTATTAAGTAATCTGCTCTTTCATATTTGAAAGATATTGTTTTGCTTGATGCCTTCAGGCACTTGGACACTGAGTTTGATAAGTGCATATTGTGTTCTAAAAGAATAAGATTAGTCCTTTGGGGCCTTTTTAGACTGTTCGGATATTTTGGTCTGGTAGTCTGAGCTCCTGTCTCTGTTGTTTTGACCGATTTTAGTTCTAATAAGAAATTCTTCCTTCCTCTGCAAGTCAGACTCAATATGTTTCAGGTTTTTAAAGTGAGGCAATAAAATCTCTGAAAATCTTAAACAGAGGATTGTTGCTTCATATTGATCAGAATGATTTGTTGTTATACATTAGGCTTTTAAAATCATGTATAAGTTACTAATTTAAATCATTTAGGTTTACAGTCATTTAGTTTTACAGTCATATTTGACATGCCTAATGCCTGTACATTCTCTTTCATTGGAGTAGTTATCTGGAAGCTCATGTTTTAATGCAAACATTAGGCAAAATCCTAACTACACATGCCCTCTATTTACTTTAGGTTAAGATACTATCAAGAACTCTGTTCCTTCTCCCATGACTTGTTCTTTATTTCATGCTAATCAGTGGCTGTAGGGAGATCCCAGTTTGCTCCTGCCCTCCTGAATGCCATAAGCACCAGCCCATGGCATTGTATTCCCTCTAGCTGTGGTTCTTTCAAGCCCACAAATTGTGCTTCTTGGCTGCACAGTGATCCCACTTCAAAGTGTGTTATAAACACTGTGTAGGGTTGAGGCTAGGGTGCTCTGTGGAGCTATGGCTCCATACATGCTGCTACAGGCAGAAGACCTGTAGACCCATCCTTCTTTTCAACATCTTTTACCCTAGACTGACCATGCCTGCAGATGTCAGCTCCACCCATAGACAACTGACTTCCCTGTGCATGTACAGGAGATATATTCACCTGACTGGAATTTTTAATTCACTTCCCAGGGTGACATTTAGGTGTTGAAATGCTGAGTATCCCTTCTGGATCTAGTTTTTAACTGCTTTCTCATTCTGCATGTCTGCAAGTATAAAGACAACTATTTTAGCTTTTTCTATGTTGGCAGACATTTGCTCCCATTGCCTTTTTTTGGAATATGGTTCTTTGCTGAAAATGGCTACAGTCAATTCATCAGCTTTTTTTAATTCTTATGCAAGCTTTTCAGATGAGATGATTAGCCGCACCTCAACCCCTGGGAAGGTGAAGGAGCAGATAATCCTGGAAACCATTTCCAGGCACATGAAGGACAAGAAAGTCATCAGTAATCATCATGGATACATCATGGGGAAGTCACAGTTGACCAATTTACTAACTTTCTATGACTGGCTGGATAGATGAGAGGAGAGGAGGGGATACTGTCTACCTAGTCTTCAGTAAGGCTGTTGACACTGTCTTCCATAAAAGCCATGTAGAGGAACTGCTGAAGTACAGGCTGGATGAGCAGACAGTGAGGTGGACTGAAAACTGGCTGAATGGCCAGGCCCAGAGGGTGGTGATCAGTGGCATGAAATCTAGTTGGAGGCTAGTCACTAGCAGTGTACCCCAGGCATCACCACTCTGTCCCATCCTGTTTAACATCTTCATTAATGATCTGGATGGGGCAGGGATAGAGTGCTCCCTTAGCAAGTTTGCTGATGACACTAAACTGATAAATGAGAGAGGGTTGTGCTTCTACCCAGAGAGGTCGTAACAGGCTAGAGAAATGGTCTGACAAGAACCTCATGGAATTCAACAAGAGGAAGTACAAAGTCCTGCACCCGGGGAAGTCACACCTGCAGTGCTGTGTTCAGTTATGGGCCCTCCAGTACAAGAGACATGGACAAAATGAAGAAAGTCCAGCAAAAGGCTAAGAGGATGATTAAGAAACTGGAGCACCTCACATATAAGGAGAGGCTGAGAAAGCTGAGATTGTTCTGCCTGAAGAAGAGAAGGTTCTAGAGGGTCTCCTCAGTATGTGCAAATGCCTGAAGAGCAAAAGAAGAGAAAGACACACTAATCTCAGTGACTAATGCCCAGGGACAGGACCAGAGGCAATGGGCCCAAACTGAAACATAGGAGGTTCCATCTGAACATCAGAAAAGACCTTTTTTCTGTGAAAGTGACCAAGCTGAGGGAGGTTGTCTGTTCATACTGAAAAGCCATCTGAGCAACCAGCTCTAGCTGGCCCTACCTGTACAAGGCAGAGGTGCTTTCCAACCTCAACCATTCTGTGATTCTGTGAATTTTGTGATCAGAAGGAATTAATCTGTCTAACCACTGGCCTACATTTAACTTAATTTTTTATTACCTTGAATTTTATGTGGTCATTCTTCTGTACAACTTAAGTATGAGATTCCAGTATATTGACCCTTTACACTCTTATTTATGGTTTGTAAATAAGCACTTTCAGGATAAGGCCACAAAAGATTGCACTCGTGTTTGAAGGAAGATTTCAGTCATTCAGAAATAACTAAATCCGTTGTTTAAAGCTGTAACAGCGGAAATGTCATTTTTTTAAAATTTACTGAACATTTTAGGTTATTTTACCAATGTTAGTGTTATTTTTTGCCCTGATAGTTTGGTGAAGAATCTAATTGGAAGATACTCTGCAGCTGCTAGATCAGACAAAGTTGTTCCACGCTGGGAACAGGACTACCACTTACAGCCCATTGGAAAACTTGGACTGTTTTATGAGTATCTTGAAATGGGTAAGTAGCATTTTAGTTAGGACTCACTACTACTGCTGGATACAAACATGTTCCAAAGAAAATCTTCACACAAGCAATGCTTAATAAGGTAGACAGAGGAGACAAGAATGTTTTCCAAGACAAATTTTGATGAGCAGTTACAGATGGTTTTACAAGCTTTTATTAAGCAGCTAAGCCTTAATCCAATTTATAACAAGGAAACAGCACAAGATTATACAAGGAGAGGAGTACTGCTGCTTCCTTACCTCATCCTCTGAGAAATGCATCCAGAAGGCAGACTACTACAATATTCTGGTGTTGTACAGCAGAGTCCTGTGTCAGACTGCTCTGCTCAGAGTCTGCAGTCACCAGGACTTGTTGCTGGTTACTTGAGAGCTGGGAGATCTCTGGGGGTTTTCCACTATCCATTCTGTCACAGCATTGCCAGCATACTTACAGCAGCAGCCAGACACCAATAAATGATTGTTGGTTTGCACTTTCCAGCACAGCACTGAGACAGATAGTCATTAGATTTCCAGATCTTCATGATGAAGGCATAAGTAAAAATGGATGTTTAAACACCCAGAATAGCTCCTCTTGGTGTGTTTTGACTCATAACATTTTCCTGTCCCCTTCACCTAGCAGGTTTTCTCAGTGCTGTTATGCTCCTATCTCCTCATACAGAAGATTCACCAGCAACCCAGCTACCCCATCTTGTCTCCTGCAGTTGGATATATAAGCTATACATGCTCCTATGTGCTTATGCCCAGAAGTGAAAGCCTCATTGATGTATGTAACCTCTCCCTTTCACAGTCATACAGTTTGGCTTCGTGACTCTGTTCGTGGCATCATTCCCCCTGGCTCCTCTCCTGGCTCTGATGAACAACATGTTGGAAATCAGGCTGGATGCATGGAAGATGACGACCCAGTTCAGGCGCATGGTCCCACAGAAGGCACAGGACATTGGTGCCTGGCAGCCCATCCTGCAGAGCATAGCCATCCTGGCTGTGGTCACCAATGTAAGCACAGTGCCAATAACTGCAAAAGATAAAATGCCTTCACTGCAGCTGCTACATCCAAATCTGGGAATGTGGCAATTTAACCTAAATGATCCTAAATGAATTACGAACAGAAGTCCCTTGAGTCTTCAGCCTGTGTAAATAGTCTTTCAGTTACTTTCCAGGTACTTTAGAACAGAGTATGGCTACTGTCTAAAATATTAGATCTAAAGAAAAATGTGTATTTAGAGTTGCTAAAGTCTCCAGAAAAATCTGTTACATGGGAAGAATATAGCACATCTTTCCTAAAATTAAAGCACTTAGTACAGAGGGGGTTTTGGGCAGACTACAGCTAAGTACATGAATCTTGAAAAAGAATATGCTGCAGTTTACCTAAGTTATAATTTATTGTTATTTCTTAAAACAGAAATTCAGCTTCTTTCTTGTGTACTTAAAAATACGATGTGTGTTCAAAATTGCAACCAGAATGAATTTTCTGAGAATTTGCAAACTAATCTGCTCTTCAGTTGTACTTTAAAATTTTTAAGTTCAGAAAATTTTATATGTCAGTCTCAGCTAGTAGAAGTATTTTCAGGTATTCAAAGGTCTCCCAAAATCGCAGTTGTTCTTGTTCAGAACTTTATTTTGCACTATAGCAATTCAACAGGTATGGTAAACATAGTGAGGATGTAGAGAGGAGTCTCAGGAGGACATAAAGGCAGAGAATTAAGCACATTTAAGTGTTGGAGGGAAAAAGGGAGCATGAGAATGGAAAATTTGCAAGAGAATCTGGGAGACAGACAACAAGTTCAAGCTTATGCTGCATTTGTTTTGCAGTGCTCTGCTGAGGCAAGCCCAACATAAATTCAGATGATCCATAGGCATGTGAACATCCAAGGCCTACTTGTACATCTGGTGTTAAAATTTATTTTTAAAAATGCACCTTTGGTACCATGCTCAGATTGTTAGGATATTTTTGGGGCTCTTTTGGTTTAGTGCTTGTGCAAAAAATTGTTAATGATAATTATCCCAGCAAATGATGCAAGTCCCAGTAGATAATGTCACAGATGACACAGAGCTTGACCTAGCATAGCTAGAAGTAGAGACAACATTACTGGTTCATCAGTATCTTCTTTTGAACTAAACTGCTAGAAACTTAAAAAATAAAATGAAAACAATTTCTGATGCCCTTGAAGAAAAACAAATGCTCTGCTATTGGATAACTGTCTTTGCTAGTCAATCCATCTGGATCTTGTAATTCCAGTGTGAAATTAACAGATAGATAATAGATAGATAGATAGATAGACAGATAGATTTAGATTACTTTAAAATATTGTACCTTAGTCATAGTTCTTATGATATTCAGGTCAGAGTAAAAGTGGCATTGGTGACCTTGCAGTGACTCAGACATCTGTGGGCTTGTTAGGAATGTGTTCATACCCTGCTTTCTGCACTTCATGTCAGTGTAAACACAGGGCATCTGCCCCTGATCTCAGTCAGGCTGTTGGCATGTAAGGGGCTCAGCACCAGAGCCCACCATGTCCAAACACTCCTGCTGCAGGTGTTGCAAGGACCTCAAACATATTGGTATTTCTTGCTAATGAAGTGTGGCCCACAAAGCCATGTGCTAGAGCAAATGCTAGGAGCACTTTACTTCCTTTAAGTATGAGGTTTTTTTCTTGTTTGACATCCAGGATCTAGCATAGGTCATCAGTCTTTCCTTTACCATCCCTGCCTTGATTTTTTTTTTGGTGCACAGAAACTTTCTTTTCTTCTATATGACTTGACACAGCTGATTAGACTTGAGTAGCATATCATGTTCTCCTTCATGCATTACCTTTGCAACCCCTGATAGTAACTTGCAAGCAATTTTTGCACAGAACTATCAGTTTTGAGAGTTGCCACACTGGACTTGCTATTGCATGATACCAAAGCATCTGTTATTGATTTGAAGACTGATTTTAATTAGTTATGGTATAAATGGAAAACTGTGTGCAGTAAAGCTTGGGAAGCAAAGAATGTGCTGTTTGTTTGTAGTTTTCCAGTGCAATACTCTGAAATGCAGCCCATAATTCAAGAAAAAAAAGGTTTTTCCTTTGAGAGAATGCTGGAGGATTAGCTTTTGTATTTCAGTCCTTGAAGCTTTTTGGAGCACATCTGGAGATCATTTCAAGAGAGGGAGGAGAGTGAGGCAGGGTTCAGATTTAGAATGGTGAGAGACCTGAGGCTTTGCAAAGAAAAATCAGCAAGAGCAAGTATTAAGCTATGTAAACACCATATTCTTTCTAAATGATACAAAGCAGCAGCATCAAATTCATTTGGTCGAAAGGAGAAGGGATATTTTTGCCTTACTGTTAAGCTGCTTTTAGTTCATTTATGGTCTGACAAGATGAGCCAAAGAGCAGAAAGAAAATATATTTAACTAAAACTTTCTATGCATGTAGTTCAAAGTACAAATACTCTACTTGTGCTCTACTTTTAACTCTACTTCAGAGTTAAAAACAGAGTAATTTAGCCATGAGGTCATCTCCCTGCAACTGCAAGACACAGTAATACATATTTCTTGTCAGTCAAAAACACCTACTCAGCATGTAAATATAAACAACACATCATTTTCACTTCATTTCACACTGGCATGTAAAGCTTAAAAAAAAGTATTTACAAGTGCATGCCAACTACATTTGATTTAAACCAAAGTACATTACAAAAACTCACCTTATCCTCGAAAATTTTCAGTTACTTTATTTTCATCTTAGAATGCCTCCCTTTTCTTTCTCATCAGCCAAATTAACTTTCTGTCAACTGAAATTACTTGTAACAATATTCTGGAGAACAAAATACAGATCTTGGACCACAGTCTCAAAAGATTGTTTCTGCAACTTTTGCCTTAACTAGAGTTTAGCTTCTCAGGTTCTTTATGTAAGCCAACTCAAAAGGTAGGACACTAGGATGGCATTAATCAGGCAGTGGTGCTACTTGAGGTAAGGTGGGTATTGCACTTTTTTCAAATCCTTGGCCTTTCCCTTCCCTATCTTTTCCTCTTGTTGCTGTCTCTTGTGCTGGCACCAGCACTTTGACAAACACAATATGAACCAGATCAGGGAAAGGATCCAGTGGGGATTCCCAGTCAGATCAGCACCATGATCTGATCTGCTGCACAGGGGCAGTAATGCCCAAGCAAGCACAGGGCATGAGAAAACTGCTAAAGGCAGAAGCAGAAAGTTTTTAGCTAGCACTGCCACCGAAGCACTGAACAGTAAAAGAGGTGTCCTCATTTTTGTTACCCTTTCTCCTCTCTCCCATTCCCTTTTTATAGAATTGTTACAAATATCTCAGGCTGAGGCTGTCTTCCTGGGAATGCTGAACAAAGGTGGACAATTTCTGCCCTATGTCATGAAAATAAGGAAATACAGATTTCATGAATTGCAGACTGGCATGAATAGGAATAAAATACAGATATTATCCAGCTGTTATGTTCCTCTGTTACCCATTACTGCTTAACTTTGCCTCTACCCCTGTCCCATGCCTTTCCTGTAGCTTTTTTCCTGCCCCTTTTATCCATCTCTGCATAAACTTTCCTTGCCCTGATCCAATTAGATCCTTACCTCACACCTTTGTCTTCCATGTCTCTGCCCTGGTTCTTTCCATCCATGTTGTCAAGTGCTTGGGTTTTTTTAACCCTGGAATGGGACAAAACACTTTGAGACCTGGAGTGCAGTCACTCCTTCCCAGGTGCTGGACACCAGAGGTGCCTCTCATCATGAGTTGGCTGGGCAGCCTCTTGATAGGGACTCAGCTGCAGATCTTGCCAGTGGAAAGCCTTCCTCACAGTGAAACCTTTTGAACTTGCAGTAGCAGAGGAGGAGATTGGATTAAATGTAGTTAACCTGTCTGCCAGAATATTTTGGGAAGTTTATGAGTTTAGAAAAAACTTTCCACAACAAACCCACAGATCAAATTGCCTACCCAGTTTGTGACTAGCAGACTGAATAGGACAGGGTCTCTCTTGGGAGCAAGATAAAAACGAATGGTCACGTCATCTGTAAAACAGCACTATGCAGCTGCTACTAAAAAAAATTATCTTGGCATCAAGAGCAGTTTCCACATGTACTACACTGAAACTCAGCAGGCAGCAACTATCAAGATGAATTTGGGCTGGCTAGCACCTCAGAAAGAGTGGGATGTTTCTAGGGTCAGAGATGGATTAGCTATATATTCAATTTATTCAATTCCTTTAGCCAAACCTCAGGGATCCTGTTGAAATGTAATTTTCGATTACTGAAGAATTCTTCTTTGGTTTCCATGAGTTTCATCAGGCTGGATTTCTTTAAGCATCTCATAAATACTTCTGATAACAAGCATGTTTGCTGAAGGTTACCTTAGAGCACTTTAAGGTGAGTTTGGCTGCTGATCTACTGTGCATGCTCATGAGAAAAAATGTGCATTATAACTTTTCTAAGGTATCCAGCAGAGTGTAATTTAAAAACTGTAGAGGTCACATACCAGAAAGAGCTTGTTTTGTGCCCATGAGAGACTACATGCTCATTTACAGAATGAACCACTGACTGGGAAAGCACACACTTTCTATTTTTAGCTCATACTCTAACTTTCGAGGTACTAAGTATATAGCAAAGGAATGTATATTAAGGCTTATTTCTTTAATGCTGCTCTGCTTTTTTGTCTTCTCTTTCTGAAATGCAGGCTATGATCATTGCTTTTACATCTGACATGATTCCTCGTCTGGTTTATTACTGGTCCTTTTCGGTCCCTCCTTATGGCAGTCACAGCAGTCACACTATGAAAGGATATATAAACAGCACATTTTCTGTCTTCAACATATCAGACTTCAAGAATGCAAGCAAGCCATTTTCCCTTTGGTTTGGGAACCAAACAACATGCAGGCAAGTGTCAAATAAGCATTATTTTTGAATTAAAAAAATAAATTTTTGACATCTAAATCATCTAATTCAGTTAACAATATACAGCAAGAAATGTTAAAATGTTAAAAGACAGTGTATTTTGAATGGCAGAACTGAGTGGAAGTATTCACCCCGAAGTTTGTGC